TTTTGTAAAGACAGTACCTGGCCCTGGAAGCAAAAGGCGCGGAACATATGCGTGGCAGACTTGCACTGATCTCCAACTGTCGTAGAAATTGGTGCTCCCAATCCCAAACAAGATAATATTTTTGAGATACAATCAACATCTATTGTTATAATATTATAGTTGTTGTTATTTTTATCCGGAAGATATCAACACCATCATGGACCATGTGTTCTTCGTTATCGCTCAAGGTTGGTCACAAACGTCCACAACTCCGGCCCCTTCGAGCTCCCCCCCCCGCCCGTCCGTTCCCTTCGGTGCCGCAGGCGGCGGACTTCGTGGAGCCCTGGGACCGCCTGGGGGCGCACGCCTTGGATTGGCCACGGAGCTCGGTGGACCCGGACCGGACGGTCGGGACCCGGACCGCGGACCGGTTCGGATGGGATGGGAAAGGAGGACGGATGGGTGCTAAGCCACAAGACGTATGATGTGGAAAGGTATTGACACAGGAGTGTCTTGGATCGTAGTAATGAGACATAGTCATGATTTAGGCGGTGAAGGACATTTGGTTACTGCAGGGAACTTCCATGAGGCGATTGGCATCACTGAATTGGAGAGACAGCACTTGTTCAATTTTGCTGCTAGGTACCATGTTGGGCAAATGGATGTAAGTCAATAAGTTTCGTGCATCAGATAACTTCGGAATTCACCAATTCAGGAATTCAGTCAGTACGACCATGGGCTGTCAACAGATGCTTCCGGTGCTTTCTCGGCAGACAGACGACGTGCTCAGGCTGTATCAGATGCCACTTCTCAACATGACCGTCGACAGGCGAAGGGGATAGGCCAAATGGGTGGGTGGCCAAATGGATGGCGAAGGGTACCAGATAGTTGATTGTGTTTTCTCTAGCAACATGTCTATTCAACTCACTCCAAATTGGAGGCAATCTGAATTAGTTCTTTCATGTTCTTTCTTCTTCGGGCTTCTTGGTACAACAACAATCAACGAACCCCAGTTGCCCTTGGACATGTCGGATTCGTTGTGTTTTTCTTTCTACCTGGATCTTGCAGGTTCAGAGACGAAATCGCGAAATCCATTTTCCAGGCAGATGATGATATAGTCAGTGGTAACCTCTCCCACTTGCACGAACAGGGCTGATAGTCCCATCACGACACATGGACCGTGAAGCTAGCTAACCTTCAGCCTTTCCTGCAAGTCCACGTGTACCCGGACCCCCCCAAAAAAAAGAGTCAACTACGGCCTCCTGCGGACCCCTGCGTCGTCTCCCGGTCGGACAGGGTGTCTTCCGAGAACGACACGCGCGGTGCAGGTTGTGGCCGCCGCGTGGTGAAGCGATCAACCGGAACCTCTTGCGCAAAGTCTCTCGCTTCGCGCGGGCCGGGGGGCGCCAGTTCGGATGAAGGTGGAGAAAATCGGTGTGAAGCTGGTGAGGGAGAGGGATCACCAGTTTCCTACTGTCATAATTGATTGTATACAGTTATTAGTACTTCAATTATGTGACAGTGGTTTTTAAGAGAGAGCTTAAGAGAGAAAGAGAGGGAGAGAGAGACATCGAGACTTCGAGACGTCCACACAATGCACAAGACATTGGGGGGTTGGATGGATCGTTTCAGATATGGACGATCTTAGAGAACAAATCGGAGGCCAGAACTCGGCCACTGTAGAAAGCTCAATCTCAAGAGTTTGAATTCAAGGTATTGTTAGAAAGCCGCGGAAGTCTGGTCATTGGTGAGATGTACTGTCAAACGTCCAGTTCAATATCATACGTATATAATGACTGTAGATGTTGGTCATGTGTCCGTTGCCCACAGCTGGACTTTAAGGGTGTAGCGGTGCAGCGAGGTTCTCACATGTGAGACATGTGTAAGTGTTCACCACGTTGTCGATGTGTCACAAAATGGGGGCACCCTTTTCAATGGATATTGACATGTTCTGACCCATTGTCTTCAGAACGTACTCTTACCTTGGATTGAGTGAGTTTGGACATATACCAATGTGCAGAATTAGTAGTCCAATTCTGCCCAAAGCATGGTCCAACTGGTCAACTCTCAGGTCGTCCCCCCTCAAAACGCCCCTCTGCAGACGGACCCTTTCGCCGGTCACAAGGCCAAGGCAGAAGACCGCTGGGTGAGCCCCAAGATCGATCGGCCTCCAAGGTGGGGTTGGGGCCAAAGTTCAGTGAAGAGATGGAGATGGGAGGGGCTAGAAGGGAGGGCCCAGATAGAAGATGATAGAAGATGGAGATGGCAACGTCTAGACTATGACTCGAAAATTCGTGAAATGACGTATAACGACGTGCTTCGACAGTTAGACAGTTGTATCCTTCGAGTTTCTTCGTGACATGGAGGTAGGCTACTTGTTCAAGTGTTCATGAACATCTCCACGAAAGTCGCGCAGCTTTGTCAAGGACTCATGCGCTTTGTTGGTCGGAATTCGTTCGGTGTGACCACCGCAGCGGTCTGATCCACGGTCTGATCAGTCGGATTCCTGCGAGAGATGCCCCGCTCGATCCCGATGATTGGGTGTCCAGATCCAATGGGGTCAGATCTTTGGTTTCATCTAGTAGCTTCTTGTTACTACTATATAGTAGGGCACCTGTTACTACTAGCGTGGCACTTGTTTCTACTAGCTTCTTGTTACTACTAGTAATAGTAATGCCAGGAGCTACTGACTAGTAGCTTCTTGCTCCGTTCGTAGCGATGAGCTTGTTACCAGTGAGCGGAGGTCAGCTTTCAGCTAGAAGATGCGGGGGGTCCCTATGATCCAAAGGAAAAACCATCCAATATTTGGTGGCCTTGGTGGCGTCACGCCAGCTGGCCTTCCATTCACGTTCGATGTTTCCTGCAGAGGCAAAAAGGATTTTGCACTTCCATGTTTGTGAGTCTGAGATCGTCTGAGTGTATCTACTAGCCTTGGTGAATTTTGGACTTATTCCCTAAACCTTGTTGCACTGAAGTACAGTGAGGCTGTAGTTTGTTGCTGAGGTTCCTGGTTTGCTGCATCAACCCACGGTTTTTCAAGCAACATGTCCTTCAGCAGCAGCATTTAACAACCATGAGGTCATGATCTTGTGTGTTTACTATATGTTTGAGAGCAACTATCAGAATTGAACCCCAATATCTTTTGGCTTGTTGGTTCCTAAAGTTCCGGCATGGAAAGGGCGTTTTTCAGTTGAAGACGACCGCACCTATTGCGCCAGACACGATGAATACCCGGATGTCTCGTTACTCTACCTGCCATCCATTGTGGGAGGGATCCTGTCTATTGTCCAGTGGTCCAGAGTCCAGAGTATGGATCTCGTGGTTTTACCCGCTTTAGAGGCGCACGATGGCTCACTCGAAATGACATGTGTTCCAGGCCGGCCACACATGTGTTTTAGCCCGATGAGACCATGAGGCACACACCTCCCAAGCCATCTGGATCCATCCACCGAATCCTCCGAGCGGTCGGAGCCCAGCGAGCGGCGAGGCTGGTCATCGTCATGACGGAGGACTTGTGCTTCGATCTCGCCATCGAAGAGGCCCAGCGAGCAGGCCCATCTCCCAGTCGAATTGTGTGGAAGGGACCGCAGGTATAGCGATGGATGGGACGGTGAGGGGTGTGTGAGACGGTGTGTGTGAGCGAAAGCTCCGTGTCTGTGTCCGGGTGTACCACATTGAGCAAAGGAACAAAAGAGTGGTTGTTGAGAGGCAACCTGCGAGGCGATTGTTGAATAGAGCCGCTGATGGTTTCCAGTGATAGGTTCATGCTCCAAGAAGAAACAAGCAACAACACGTCCTGAATATAGTAAATACCTGCAACCTAAGAAGGATGCGAAATCACAGTCCTGATCAGAAAGGCTGTCTTTGATACAGAAAGATGATCTTTTATGGGTCAGGGGCGTATTCTGTGATAGGGGCGTACTTTTAAGGACTTGGGTGAACTTAGGTTTCCAACCTTGCAAACCCAAGGCTACACCCTTTCCTATCAACATTCCTCTGGCGTTCTGCAGCCTTTTTCACAAACTCTGAGAGCTCCGGAACCCTCTGGCGGCCGGAGGTTGGGAGCCTCAGCATCGATCCAGGAAGGGATCAGGGTGAAAGTTGAGAGTCGGTAGACTCATGCTTGAGATGGGATAAAAATTCCTATCTGAGGTGTGGCTAGGAAACATTGTTTTTTCCCACACCATCTACTTGTCAAGATCTGACATTATGTAAGTGTGCATTCTACAACTGGAGGTTATACCATCACTGCATATACCATCACCACACATGATATCTCATCAGGCAAGCCCTGTTTCAATAAGAGGTTAATATCCTTATGTGACTTATGTATCCTCCCTCTTTTGCTGCTGCCTCGCAAACCTTAATTTTAACATTTTGGGCTCAGGGTAGCGGAAGCACACTCAAGGTAGAAGGGTCTAGCGGGTCTAGCAAGCATGCCGGGAGAACCAGTGGCAAAAGGGCTGGCCAAGGATTGGGAAGAGTTGAAGCCGGTAAGGGACTTGCTCCTAAACACTGGCCGCCTGATACAGCCGGATCCTTCGATTGGCCAAATCTCTGACACAGTGGAATGCGTGGCAATCAATGCACCAGTCCTGGAGCCCCTCATGCCCAGGCTTTGGGTGGAGACAGAACCAAACCATGGGTACGTTGATATTGTCACTATTCCATCGATTGAAGTTGAGCTTCTTGCATTCGATTTACTTTGCATGTTTTTGCTTCCAATTCTTTTTATATAGATGGGGTTTTGAACAGCTCTATTTTGAAAAACCACTAATTAATTAGGTTTCTTAGTGTTTCCTCCAATCATGCTCAGGTTGAAGAACATCCGCAAGGCTTTGAAATGCTCTGCTTCGGCTTTTGGGGAAAATGTCATCAAGAAGGAAGCTTGGTTCATCAGGAAGGCTTCAGTTTTGATCAAGAAGAAAATCTCCCGCCGCCAGTATCCTCGCAATCGAGACTTTGTCCATTTGATGTCTTTGGTGGCGGGGAGTTTGGACGGTGCTGGCGATGATGCTGCTTCGGAGGACATGTGGGGGGAGAGCTGAATTTGCATGTTCTGAACAGTGTTTTTTCCCCACCTTGTTGTCAAACACACCAAATCATCAAGCAACCACAGGCTGCAAGTCTGATGCGCAGGAGGCAGGGCAAGGAAAATCAGATCCTGACAATAGTCCAGCTGATGATGATGGTGCAAATGATGATGAACTTCACCATGGTCCATGTGGTCTACCTGACACTCTTCAAGTGGTGCTTGACAGTGATGTCGAGATGGAAGAAGCACCTTCTGAGATTGTGGCGCCTGCTGAGATGCCCCAAGATCCCCAAGCTCTTGCCAATGAAGGGCATGAAGGGTCAAATGATCGCCCCAGTTCTGGCAAGGATGAACATGAGATGGTGGCCTTGCCGGTTCCTCCTTTCGACATGGATGAGAAAAGTGAGCTGGTCGATGGCAATGAGAGTGCGCCTTCCAAAGGCACTAGCCATGACCAAGTTGACTCAACCATTGAGCAAGCTCTTCCAGCGGGCGATGGAGATGATCCCAATAATGCTTGCGCTGCAAGACTTGCCAGAGGCAAATCTCATCTTGATATCTTGATTCCTGACTCACAGTTCCCTTTTGGTGAAGGTGATATGGTTGATGGTCCAGGAGATGCTGAGGAGTTCACTGCTGAGGACAAAAAGCTCCCCTATGTCGAGTCTGGAGGTTCCAAGCCCATCATCAGCGATGGAGATCTGGCCAGTATGGAGCGTGAACTTTCCCTCCTCCTCCAAGAGGAGAAGGCATTGATTTTTGGCTCCAAGTGATTTATATATTTTTTTGGAGAGGATTGTTGTTTTTGTTTTTAAGGATTTAGGGTGGTTTTGACAAGTCCGAATGCGATCGACCCAATGCCACCGCCTAGGAAGTGCAAGCGGATGATGCGAATCCCAGACAAAACTATCCTGATTGAGGATTCGTTGCCCTATGGGATGGACACCAGTGACACCCTCAACCTCCCAGAGTCTGAGATGCAAACCTTGATGAATAAATTCAAGGAGGACCCTGGTGATTTGGTGCAAAAGTTCGCAACACCACCAGCTCCGAAGTTTAAACCAGTCGCTTTTGTTTTTGTTGTTGCTGCTATACAAAATCAATGAACTTAACTAAGAATGTGTTTTGGGGAGCCTTCGGCAGCACCCCATTGCCCAGGTTACACGGCGGCAACAATTTGGAGTTCGCAATGATCCCGAGCTTCAAGATGAGGAGGAGCAGACAGGGGGGAAGAAGAAGGGCAAGGGCAAAGGGAGAGGCAAAGGTAGGGGCAAAGGAAAAGGCAAAGGTAGGGGCAAGACGCAGAAGGGAAAGAAGAAGCAACAGGCAAAGCAAAAGAAAGTCACTGGCAAAGGCAAGCAAGATGGAACAGATGGAAAAGAGAAGGCTGCTAAGCCAAGAGGAGGTGGTTCCCGGAAGAAACCGGAGGATGACGACATCCTTGAAAAGGAGGAGGAAACCCCAGATGCTCCACCCAAGCCTTCAGAGGAATCTTCTGCTCGAACTCAGGATTTGCCGGATGGGGAAACTCAGACAGGCAATGAGTCCCAGTCGAGGCCAGCAAAGGCTAAGCGAGTTCAGGAAACAAATGCACCCAAAGCGAAGAAACCCAAGATCAATGAGGCTCGCCAAAAGACATCTTTGCCTTCTGTAGAGGCAAATGGTGCAACTGGGTCTTCCAAGAAAGTGGAAGCCGATGAGACCAATCTGGGCAAGAAAACACGGAAGAGGACCAGGCAGCCTGCCAAGACTGCTGAAGCTGTGGCTGGGGCGGGTTTGGTGGGCGAGCGGCAGAAAGCATCAGGAGAGGAAAAGGTCGGTGTGCCAGCTGGAAATGGCACAGGAGGTAGCAATGATGGAATGGACGGGAATGAGAAGGGGGAGGTTAGCAGGAAATGCAAGAGGGATTCAGCGCCAGGGACAGAGAAAACCAACCAAACCTGGGCGAGGCGCAGGCGCCCAAAGACTTCACAAGGGGCTCTCAAATGGGACACCTTGAGGCATGTCTTTTTGTCGGAGATCAAGCCAGTGCTGGCAGCTACATCGGCTCCGTGTTCAATGCATGAGGACCAGTTTGCAAAAACAAAGAAGTGAGGTTGAGAGGACACAAACATGATTGAATCACCCAATTGCCAATTCCTAATTCCTAAAACTGTTGGGAGGTCAGCCATGGACAAAATACATCCAATCTGGTGTTGATGCAGTGTGTTTCTTTTGGCAACTATGAATATTGTTGCTTTGTTTGGAGCCTGCCCTCCATTCAGGACTTGTTCTGGACATTTTGCACCAAGCGATGGGCCGACCAAGATATCAACGAGGCCACTATATCCGCAGCTGCTCATGAGTGTGCGAATGTGTACTTAGCGGATCTTCAAGCAAGCTAAAGGTCAATCGTTGCCTTTACTGCTAGAGCCAGCTGGCAATACCCATATGTGATCATATGTGATGTATAAGCTAGAGCATGTTTTGCATGCACATTGGATTAAAGGCTATGGCATTGATCTCCCAGTGTGATGAATTTGCAAATAACTAAAACCGGTCTTTTGGTACATGCCTGCGATACTGCACAGGTGGGAAGCTGAGCTCATTTTGATCCTTCCTGGGACTAACAACGTCTCAGCAAATTCTGGGTCAAGGATTGATGGAAGCCTTTGCCAGTCTTAGGTGAGGTGTGGGAGTCTCCAAATTGAAAACCCTTCCAAACCAAAACCAAACAATATATCAATCTTCTCTCCATCGTTTGGACCTGTTCCCAGTGTCCCCCACATAAGACATACCTCACGTGGCTGGGGGGCTGCCAGCCACCAATCCGATCTTGGGGACAATTTGGAAGAAAAGAACAAAGTTGATTTCATTCTCCTCCCATCTTGCCCTCTCCCAGCTGGGCTTCGCACCCTTTGAGCTTCAACCTCGTGCCCCTCATGCGCCCGTCTAAGGTCCTCACATGGCGGCCAGAGGGCAAGGGTGGAAGCGCCGCCTTTTCGACCAGGATGGTGATGGTGCTCGTACACCCCACTTGTTTACGCAAATCAATGCTTGCATTTTTGTCTTATTTGGATCTCATTGATGTCATTGCTGAATCACCTATCCAAATACTGGAAGACTCTGGGACTCTCAAGGATTAATGGCTAAGCCTTGGCTTGGATGTTTTTTCCAGCATGCATCTAAATTTATCCTGCAATCCATGAGCAGAACCTCTTGCCTTTGCCTTTCACGTTGCCATATTAGGTGGGTTCACTTTTTGGGTTGAAGTTGTAGACTTGTAGACTCATGGCTGTGGGGCTTGAAACGCCCACGAAGCTGGATCTTGTGCTGAAGCGTTTGCACTCCCTGGGTGCACCCAAGGCCTGGCACTTTATTGGGATGTCAGTCGCACTTCTTACATCGTGAATACTGCAAATATCTTCGGAAAAGTGGTCCAGCCTAGAATCCCACAAAGGCTTTGCAAAGTAGTATAGTCGAATGAAGATTGGTTAGGTGTTGAGCGCCTGCATTCTCTTGCTGGCCCACTTGGACAATGTGGCAGTTTTCACTGAAGTGTCATGGCGGAAAGGTGATGCAGTCGTGGAATTGTGGAACTCTCGTGTTTCAAGTCATGCCTCTAAGCATGCATGCATTCAATAACCACTCCTGGTTGAAAGGGAATGGCATTCAATCAATGTTTCTGCGACTACCCAAAAGTCCAAGTCTAAGGCTTATTCTTTTGTGGAACTATTCTGCGGAGAAGCTTGGGTGTCCCGTGTCATGCGGGCGAGTGGCCATCCAACTGCTAGCCTTGACATACGCTTTGGCGATCCTGCTCCGGGCTTGAAGCAGGATTGTTATGACTTGTTGACTGACGCTGGGTTCACGTGGCTTGGTTGCTGAACCTCCCCTTCTACCATCATTAATTTATTTGGGTTGTTGTTTTGTTTGGATCTTTGTGGGAATGGGAAGACTGGTTCGCAAAGCAAAGACTTGCACCACCCCAAAAAACTATCTTTTTGGATGGCATGTAGAACAAAAACAGCACTGCTTCTGTGTTTGGTACAATTGGTCCTCAAGCTTTCAACAAGTTCTGAGGTTGGCCCTGGTCAGCCTATTGAATTGCAAGATGGATAACTTTGTGTGCCTTATCGGGCTTCTGTGCAGCTCTTTTGTTGCGATCAATAGAGCAACAAACCGTCGTTTTCCATTTTGTGCCCTGGGTGATGTCCGACAGCCCTCAGTTCAAGTTGGCAATGCTTTGACTAGCCGGTTTCTTGGATTCAAGGGGTTCGATCATTGGTGGAAATCAGTTGGACGCGCTGGACCCATACCCATGCCATCCAATACCTGCAACCATCCTGTACCTGCACAACCCTGCAAGGCTCCCTCATTAGTAATGTTTCTAGGTGAACCCCTAGTTTACGAATTCCTTTTGGAGTGTAGTTTGCATTGCGCCCTTGTTCTTCTAGGCTGACCCTCACAAAGGAGCATGTTTGTCTCAGCAAATGTTTGCCTCCTGTTTGGTGATCACACCACCTAGGCATGTTGACAAATCAACAATTGCAAAGTAGTGCGATCTAACTTGCACACCACCTACATCAACCTTGTGACACTTTGGGGTGGCACGGGGAGGCTGCATCTGGGGAAAGCAATGTTGATCCCTCTTTAGTTCTTCCTGATGTGTTTTGTTTGCTACATGCTGCCATCCCTAATATGTGTCCAAGACTGCACCCGGTGGTGTTTGCTATGTAGTCGACTATGTAGTCAATCTAATGGCACCTTATTTGCATTTGTCAGTCACTGAGGACATGCCTCCTGATTTGGGTGGTGCAGGCCATGGGGGGTTGCTTCATATTGGAGCACCCTCGAAGCTCGATGGTTACGTGGCATCCACGAATCAGGGAGGTGATGAAGAGTCTCCCCAAGGCATGACCCAAATCTGTGGAGACCGAACATTGGCATGTGCATGTGTTCATGGAAGAAGGTACTTGAAGGTACAAAAATAATTGGAGGCATATTAGGGCCTACACCTCTGCCAGGTGTTCATTGCTTTCTGGTGGATGTATCATTTTGGAGGACTTACCGCAAAGCGCCACTTGTGCTTATCCAATGCTGAAACGGTTGGAGAACTTGACTTGGGGAAAATATGCCAAAAGGCCCGAAAGAAGCTTGCTCAATCTGCAGCAAAATCAGCTACCTCATCCGGATCCAAGAGTGGGAAAAGGGCCTTTACTGGTTCCCAATTCCTGAAGTCTACAGGGTGAAGGACTTAGATTGGGAATGTTGATATGATCAGTAGCCACAGGCCTTGCAGACCCAGCCCATTGCCTCCTCTGCTCAGGACCTATCCTCCACGCTTTGGCAAGTTCCTGCAGAAGTTGCACCCACGGTTGCTCAAAGAGCGTGTTGTTGAGTGGGACCTACCTAGTGAGGTATTGAACCAGGATCTGCATTCTTTTTTTGCATCCCAAGATTGGGGAGACCTATGGACAGATGCAAATATGGTGTCTGTTCTTTGCTACCTTAGGGGGTCCATCCACCTACATCTTGGGCAGTGCAGGGATTTGTTCCCTGAAGAACTGTGAACATGTCCACCCTGCCACTAATTCGATCAAAATTCAGTGGAGAGTTTTGAACTCTCACCTCATGTTTGGAAGCCTTCAGGACGGATAGCAAAAAGGCTTTCATTGATGAACCATCATGGAATGTAACTAATAGAAACAACTGGGATACTCATGCATTTGGTCTTTGAAGCCATCCTTTTACAGCATTTTGGGACAATTTCACCCGTACACCAAAATACGCACAAAATACGTGCAAAGTACGTACAAAATACGTATTCTG